TCCAGTTTCTTATTGGCTAGCTCTTACATATTGTTCTAACCCATTTCTAATATTCTGTGTAGCCCATGAGCTGGCTTACCAGAGAGGATCTTAACCTGCGTCTGTCTGGAGTGGGCGCATCATGGCGACTCTTCCTCTAACCTTCTTTCTCCCAGAATTCTCTTCTGTATACTCCGCCTACCTAATTTTCTATCCAATAAAATGGGCCAAGGCAGTTTCTTTATTAGTAAGAAATCATTCCCACATCACTATTTATGTCCAAAAGGCTTTCAAAAAGATCATAGATGGCTTTCAGAAACCATTTTTGTTTGTTTTTAAATAAATCTTAATTATGAATTTTGCCTAAACTAGTTAAGTGATTCTAGGCATATTAATCTCGTTAAGTCTTGGTACCAGGCAACCACAGCTTACTTGGGCTCAGACCCTCAGCCCCCACCCTTTGGTGACAACTCACTGTGCCTTTCTCAGACCTTTGAGTCCTTCAGGCTTTGCCCTACAGCCCACTCCTTGAGTGACAATTGTCTAGGGCAGCTTGTACCTTTTTTGCTTGATCTTGACTTGAGAAAAGCCATTGGATCTTGTTTTGCCTCACTCATGGGGAATAAGCCCACCAAAAATTCTGCTCCCTGCACTCTATATCCTGATATTTTATGGGACCTTTACAACATTCTGCCAGGGATCCTAATAGATGGAAGGAGGTATCACCCCTTCACTCTTCCGCTTTCCCTGCCCCCCAATAAACGTCTTACACCAACTCTGCTGCATGTGGCATGTTTGCTCAGTGGCAGAGCTCACCGAAAGGTAGACCCTACCCTCCTGCTCCACCCTCAACAGATCCGCTCTCTTCCACCCGCCACAAATCTGCTTTCCCGTTCACTGGTGGCTTCACTTTCCAGTCAGTATTGGCAACTGGGTCTCTGGCTGGGATACCCGCCTCTGCCTCTGACCATTCCCCTGGATGTGAGGCTTCATTTCTCCTGCACAGTCCTCTCCTCGCCTTCTGCCTTTTCTCCAAGTCCTGGCACCATGAGACTGTGTCACTCTCAGGCTCAGAGCCCTTGGTCCCTGGTCTGTAAGTCTGAGGAAACACAAAGCAGCCTGTGCTGTCTCAAAATCAGCCCTCTCTGAATTCCTGGGAAGCTAGGAATTACAGCCCCTTGGGTCTCACCTCTCTGCCTCATGCATGGGAACCGTGTCATTGTTTATACCTTCTTGTTCCCATTGGGATGTTTTTTGGAGACCCACTGACCATTCCTAAACAGTTAGAGTTGAGGACCACCAGCTGTTGGCCATAGAGTTGGAGGCACAAGACTACAAGACTGTCAAACACGTCTGGGAGATGCTGTGCTGACGGAAAAGGATCAGGTGCTGTAAGCTCCAGGGAGTCAGCTCGGATCCACTTCGATCAGCATTTTGCCAGGTCCAGGCAGGGCCTGATAGTTCAACAGAGCTTGGATGATCAAGTGAAACAGCCAGTTACTTCAGGATGTGGCCAGCACTCCAGCTTTCCCAGGTCCCCCCAAAATGAATGATGCTCCCCAGGTCAGCAGGAAGTAGTCTTGCGAACATGGTGTTTTCATCCCTGCCTCACCTGCTACCCTTTTCTAATGCCTCATCTTTTTATGATAAGCAAAGGGAGGAATGTTAGCTTCCAGGCATTTGTAGTGGCCTGCCCTTGGGGTTCTGACAGGATATATCCTCAGCTGCAGCCACTGAGAGCACCTCCTGTGCACACTCCCTTTTAAAAGAGCCCTGCCCGTCTCCCATCTCTCTCTGTGTGTCTCTGTGTGTCTCTGTGTGTCTCTGTGTGTCTCTGTGTGCCTCTCTCTGCCTTTTCTCTTCTGCTGCTACTGTCCCTAGAGAATGGTCTCCCCCTTTTCTTTCCCCTTTTTATGTTCTCTTTCCCCTAATAAAATCCCCTCCACAAGAACTCTGTTGCGTGGTGTCTTTCTTTCGCGTGGTACTTTTTTAAATTACAGCAAGCAGGGTCAGCTCTGGTGTACTGTCCAGGTGAGGTGCAGGGCCGGCTCTCCTAGTGAGGGACTAAAGTGTTTTTCTCTCCAACTCCTGTGATCCCACGGCCAGCACTCTCACTGCCTGCTACAGTTAGCAATAGTGGGGAGAGGAAGGGAGGGCATCTTTCCCTCACCCATGCCACCACATGGCAGATGGGGGGTGTTGGGGGGAGTGTCTTAAGCTCTCAGGGCCGGGTTTACCCGCATCCCTGACAGCAAGATCAGCTCTAGTGTGCTGCCTAGGTGAGATACATGCCTGTGGTGAGGGGTGGGGCCATCTTTCCTGATTGTGGGGGGGGGGGGTAACTCTCCTGTGTCCAATGAGGGGCAGGGCCAGCTGTCCCACTGCCAGTGAGGGGCAGAGCCATCTCAGCATAGCCCTTGGATTTGGTTCCTATAACCCTCATGGTAACACAGGCCTTGGACATCAACACAGACCCAGGCATGGGCCTCAGCAGCAATCTGGGCCCGGAGATCACCACAGTCCTGGTGGCAGCACAGGCTACCCAGATCAGTATGGCCCTGGTAGCAGCCTGGACCTCGGACACCAACATGGTCTCAAGTGGCTGACTGGACCCTGGCCATCTGTACAGCCTTTGACAACAGGGGCCACTGACATCAACTGAGACCCTGGCTGTTGTAGAGCCAAGGACCCAGACATGGCCCTCATTAGCAGCCGTGGCTCAGAGAACCCTTGGTCCCAGGAGGCAGCGCAGGCTACCTGGTTCATCATGGCCCCAGTGGTAGTGTGTTCCATGGACACCAACATGACCCAGGTGGCCGCCCAGACCCTGGCTGAATCAGCATGGCCTTCAATAAGACGAGGAGCTACGGATGTCAACTTAGATTCTGTTGTAGGCCACAGGGAATTCTGTTTTCATAAACTGAAAATTGCTGCTTTTGAAACATTTGAAATAATTAACTATCTACCAAGCTGATTTCTACTAAAATGGAGATTAAATGATTGCAGCAAGGGGGGTGGGGGGCCGACAAAGCTGCACACAGAGGACAACTGTTGTGGGGTGAGAGCAAAGGTTCTGGAGCAAAAACGAGAAGGCTGTCGAGGGTCATGTGCAAACGGAAGGAGCACACGCAGAGCAGATGACATGGGGGCGTCAGTCATGTAGAAAACAGAGACCTCAGACCAAAAGGAGACTCCTCCCTGCTGGCTGACTTTATTATGCTATACAGGAGCTATACAGGCTGCTGGAGGGAAAGACATCAATGGTTCTTCTCAACCTGCATGCTCCAATATCAACTTTCCAGGCATGATATGACTACTGGAGTAATCATGGCATGACTCTTATGGATAATTAACAGCTTTCTGATTGGATCTGAGGGCCACTCCATAGGGAGGAAATTCCCTTCCTGGCACAGTATTGTTGGCCAAAAGTCCATGACTGGAGAGGTGAGCCTCTGGGGTAGAACCAACTATTACTGTGTGCTCAATGGCAATGCTGTCTAATTGCCTTCTAAATATTTACGTCTATATCCATAAACCTGGGCTCCTCCTACCCTTGGTTAGAAAAGCTTCTTTTGCAGTGGGTAGCAGTCAATGCAGTGACACACACTTGGTCAAAGTGCTGAGAATTAGAGAGTGCTCAGTCTGAAATGGGACATCATTATCAAGTCCTCCTCCACCCCCAGCCAAGGCTCAGGACCATCATCTTGGAAGACGAGGAGGAGCTAATGTCAGAGCTGGAGGATGGGAGAAGTGTTGAAATGCTGTGTTCTGGACGTGGCATGCCGACCATAGTCATGACCACACACCAACCGTAGTCACCTGCATAAGACAAAGGCAGACAAAGTTCTTGACTAGATAGGGATGATCTCATCTCCAGGCCCAACCCCTTACTGAGGAACTGCTAGCAGGTGATAGCTGTTGAGGAAAGAAGGGTACAGGGGTTGGAAAGGAAAATGAAGGGTGGATATGATCATTTGTCTTTGTTTACATGCATAAAATTACTAAGAATAAAGAAAATATTTTGAAGGCAATGAGAGACTATGCCTAGGAACAAAGTAGCTGAGCCATGGGAAGCAAATTTTTAGTTGCAAAGCTCCCCTGGTTTCTCAGTAGAGGGAGTGAGTGGTAGGACAGGAAGCAGGAACTAGGGAGATGGGTACAACCAGGAAGGAGAGGGATGGAGCGAGCATTGGTAGAAGGAGTGGGGAAGCAGGTTCTAGGGCAACATTGTAAGCCTGTGATGTCAGCGGACAGGCTGTGGTGCCAGGCAGCCAAGGACTCTTTTGCACAAAGGTCAGTCACCCAGGCAAAATCAGTGGGCGCTGACAACAAGCAGGTGGTTATATGAAGTTGGCCAATTTGTGTGGGCTATAGGCAAGAGGCAGGTCACATTTGCAAGCAAGTAAATTATGCAGGCAAGCAGACCAGTTAGTGTTTAGAGCCGGTAGTGTTATTGGCTGAATTACATTCCCACATGCCTAAAATTAAGAGGATGAAGTTCAATGCTGAACATCTTTGTATGTGACTCTGTTTAGACACTGCACCTTTAAAGGGGTAATTAAAGCAGACCTTCACGAGACTATGATCTTAAAGGAAGATATTAGGATAGACACAAAGAAAAGACACTGAGAAGATAGGAAAGGTAGCTATCTTTGTTTGGTTTCCGTTGCTGTGATAAACACCATGACCAAAAGCAAGTTGGAAGGAAAGGGTTTACTCCATCATAGAGGGGAGTTAGGGTGGACACTCAAGGTAAGAACCTGGAGGCAAGAACTGAACCAGAAGCTGTGGTGGAACCCTGTTTGCTGACTTGCTCTTCCTGCTTTCTTATGGCACCCAGGAAAACCGTGCAGGTGTGGCACCACCCAGCAGACTGAACCCTTCCAGATCAACTATCAATCAAGAAAACACCACCCAGACATGCCCATAGGCCAATATGATTAGGGTGTTTTAGTCAGTTGAGCTGCCCTCTCCTCAGCTGACTATTTTCTAGCAAGTTAACCAAAGCTACACCACAATGGCCATATGCAAGCCAAGGAAAGAGACACCCCAAAGCTTACTGACACTCTTGTCTTAGATGTCTAGTCTTTAGAGATGTGAACTGGGTAGTTTATATCACTGTCATCCACGCAATCTGTGGGACTTCGTTGTAACAGCCCTGCCAAATTCATGTACACAGATAACAGCCTGGAAAAACTTCATGAATCTCAGGTTGGGTGTGTGTGTGTGGGGTGTGTGTGTGTGTGTGTGTGTGTGTGTGTGTGTGTGACACAGAAGTAACTGAAAGAGGGTGCGAGTGTTCAAACGACATGGAAATGAATATGAAGTTTGGAAGTTACTGGGGAGAGAGACGTGAGGAAATCATTGAATGGCCCTAGCTAAAACCTAGAGATGCTGTTAGCTACTTTGCTGTTACTTTACTGTTAGTTACTTTGCTGGTGCTGTAATAAAAAACCATGACTAAAGAGTCTTCTGGATGAAAGAATTTATCTTGGCTTGTAGTTCCAGAGGGAAAGTTCAGCATGTGTGGAAAGACAGGGCAGCAGGCAGCTGAGGGATCACATCTTCAATCACATATTGGAAGCAGAGAAATTGAACAGGAAGTGGGGTGAGATTAAACCTTAAAGCCCATCTCTAATGACATGCTTCCTTCTAAGAGTTCTATTAACAATGGTTCTCAACTTGCGGGTTGCAACCCAGACCCATCAGAAAACACAGTTATTTATGTTATGATTGCTAAAAGTAGCAAAATTACAGCTATGAAGTAGCAATATCCCACAACTATATTAAAGGGTCTCAGCATTAGGAAGGTTGAGAATCAATGTTCTAGAACCTTACCAAATGGCACCACCAACCTGGGGCCAAATGTTCAAAGGCATGAGCCCATGAGAGACATTTCTCATTTAAATCAGCACAATAATGAGACATATTATTAAGACAAGAATGCCACACACCTAAACATAATTAAGGCAATATACAGCAAGCCAACATCAAACTAAATGGAGAGAAACACCCAGCAATTCCACTGAAATCAGGAACAAGACAAGGTTGTCCACTCTCTCCATATCTATTCAATATTCAATTGAAGTCCTAGCTAGAGCAATAAGACACCAAAGGGAGATCAAGGGGATACAAATTGGAAAAGAAATCAAACTCTCACTGTTTGCTGATGAAATGATAGTTTACATAAGTGATCCTAAAAATTTTACCAAGGAACTTCTACAACTCATAAACACTTTCAGCAATGTAGCAGGATACAAGATTAACTCAAAAAAATCAGTAGCCCTCCTGTACACAGATGATAAAAGGGCTGGGGAAGAAATCAGAGAATCAACACCCTTCACAATAGCCACAAATAGCACAAAATATCTCAGAGTAACTCTAACCAAACAAGTGGAAGATTTGTATGACAAGAACTTTAAATCTTTGAAGAAAGAAATTGAAGAAGACATCAGAAAGTGGAAAGATCTCCCATGCTCTTGGGTAGGCAGAATTAATATAGTAAAAATGGCAATCTTACCAAAAGCAATCTACAGATTCAACGCAACACCCATCAAAATCCCAGCAAAATTCTTCAAAGACCTTGAAAGAACAGTACTCAACTTCATATGGAAAAGCAGAAAATCCAGGATAGCAAAAACAATCCTATACAATAAAAGAACTTCTGGAGGCATCACAATTCCTGACTTCAAACTCTACTACAGAGCTACAGTACTGAAAACAGCCTGGTATTGGCATAAGAACAGACAAGAGGACAAATGGAACTGAATAGAAGACCCGGATATCAATCCACACATCTTCGAACACCTGATCTTTGATAAAGAAGCAAAAAATATCAGATGGAAAAAAGAAAGAATATTTAACAAGTGGTGCTGGCATAACTGGATAGCAACATATAGAAGGATGAAAATAGACCCATATCTATCACCATGCACAAAACTCAAGTCCAAATGGATCAAAGACCTCACCATAAAGCCAGCCACACTGAACCTTATAGAAGAGAAAGTGGGAAGTACACTTGAACACATTGGCACAGGAAACCACTTCCTAAATAGAACCCTGCAGCACAGACACTGAGAAAAACAATTAATGAATGAGACCTCCTGAAACTGAAAAGATTCTGTAAAGCAAAGGACACGGTCAACAAGACAAAACAACAGCCTACAGAATGGGAAAAGATCTTCACTAACCCCACATCAGACAGAGGTCTGATTTCCAAAATATACAAAGAACTCAAGGAATTGGACACCAAAAGATCACATAATCCAATAAAAAAAATGGAGTACAGACCTAAACAGAGAACTCTCAACAGAGGAATCTAAAATGGCTGAAAGACACTTAAGGAAATGTTCAACATCCTTAGTCATCAGAGAAATGAAAATCAAAACAATTCTGAGATTCCATCTTACACCTGCAAGAATGGCCAAGATCAAAAACACTGATGACAACTTATGCTGGAGAGGTTGTAGGGAAAAGGGAACACTTTTGTATTACTGGTGAGAATGCAAGCTGGTACAACTGTTGGACTCTAGCGTCCAAACACCAAGAAGGAGTCGCCCCCAGAGACCATCTCACACACCACAGCCGATGCAAAAGCATGAGGATTTTATTAATTCTGTCATGACAGGGTCCCCCAGCATTCGGGAAGCCGAGGGACTTCGAATAGCTGGTACAGTCTACTTTTAAAGGGGCCACAGAAGCAAGGGGGGTTGTTCTTTGACTATTCTGATTGGCTTATTTGAAAGGGCTTTTACCAATAATTGACTGGAGAGCTGTTGCCAGATCAGATGAGATAAGAGGTCATTTTGACCCCGTTTCCCAGGGGACCGAACCAAAGCATATGTATAAAGCATAGGTAATTGTTCAGGAACTGAGTATGTGCGAGTGTAGCTGTTAGGTCCTTGGTTCCCAGGGGAGGAGGGGAAGCACTATGGCACGGAGGCTGAGAGGATTCAGAATTGTCAAAAATGGCTTCAGGATTGTCTTAAAGTCTTACACAACCCCTTTGGATGTCAGTGTGGCAATTTCTCAGAAAATTAGGAAACAACCTTCCTCGAGACCCAGTAATACCACTTTTGGGTATATATCCAAAGGATAATCAATCATGCCACAAGGACATGTGCTCAACTATGTTCATAGCAGCTTTGTTTGTCATAGCCAGAACCTGGAAACAACCTAAAGCCCTTCGACCGAAGAATGGATAAGGAAATGTGGTACATTTACATAATGGAGTACTATACAGAAAAAAAAATAACAATAGCTTGAATTTTGCAGGAATAGATGGAGCTCAAAAACATTATTTTGAGTGAGGTGACCCAGACACAGAAAGACAATTATCACATGTACTCACTCATAGGTGGGTTTTTAATCATAAAGCAAAGAAAACTAGCCTACAAACCACAATCCCAGAGAACTTAGACAACAACAAGGACACTAAGAGAGACTTACATAGATATAATCTACATGGGAAGTAGAAAGTCGAAAAAGACAAGATCTCCTGAGTAAATTTGGGAGCACGGGGACCTTGGGGGAGGGTTAAAGGGGAGAGGGGAGAGGCAGGGAAAGGAGCAGAGAAAAATATAGAGCTCAATAAATATCAATAAAAGAATGTATAAAAAAAAGACAAGAATGCCTGAGCGCTGAAGGTGCATCATGTGGGTGTGGAAAATGAGAAGATCTTGGTTTGGGGACACAGCTTTGTGTTGTAGTTAAGTCACTAGAGGCTGGACCCTAGCAGGTGAGCCTAACGAATGTTAGGTTTGACGGCTGAAAAGCACGGCTTGTGTAAAACAAGTTCTCGGATGCCGCAGCACGATTCC